CTACAAAACTTATTATAAAATTTTTAAAAAAATTTGGGCCTAAAACATGAAGTTTGATCATAGTTATAATGATTTTGAATAAGATCACACTATTTTTGGGTTCCATTCCAAAACCTATGGAACCCTTCAAAATCAGTGTAATCAAAAACATTTTATCTAAAAATTTTATTTTTTTATATGAAATATTGGAATTAATTAAATAAGCTCAGAATAACTTTTTTTTTAATTTTTCGACCATTAAAGAACCTATTTTTTATTTTTTTTAAATAGGTCCTTTAGGTTCAAAAAACTAAGCATAGGTTCTTTAGTGGTCCAAAAAATAAGAAAAAAAAATAATTTAGGCTTCCCTAGTCAATTACAAGGTTTTATAAAAAAATTAAAATTTTTGAAAAATTTCAATCGCATCCTATTTGCTTATTCTAGTCTAAATTCAACCATTTAAAGACTAAAATTAATAAAGTACATATTTTAGTAGTTTTAAAATATAAAATAATTATTTTATTTTTGTAAGCCATTTTCAATGTTTCCCTAAATTTTTGGGAATTGTTAGATTTTAAATTATATCAATAATATTATAATATTATATTTTACTTTATATTTAATAATTTGGTTTTTATTTTATTTTTATAATTTATTTTTTATAATTGTTATTTATTTTATAATTTTATTATTACTTATATTTTTATACTATAAATTAGTATATTTATATTATTTATTATTTATTTTTTATTTTGAATCAGTCCAACATTTTAGTTGATTAAACCGATTCAATTGAAAATGTTGGTTCAATTGAATGTATTTAAAGAGAGAGAGAAAAAGAGAAAAATAGCAAAAGAATCGTTGATGGCACTTTTGTTAAAAAAAAAAAGGTTATAGTTCTCTAAAGAGGAAAACCAACACGCTACCAAAAAAAAATTTGTTTTTATCGCATCCTAGATTTATAAAAAAAATTATTATTTTAATATTCATAAGTTAAATAAAATTTTATTTTAGTTTTGAATTTAAATTCCTATCTTATAATAATAAATATTTTTAAATTAAAAAAATCATTTTTTTTATAGGGCTACAAGTAATGGAAAAGCCTATTTCACCTAGGTCTTAGATCTATTAGAAGGTAGTAGATTATTTTGAAAATAAATAAACGATAAAAATATATCAATAACCAATGCTTGACCATAAAAATTAGATCGTACCTGACCACATAGGTTAGATCATGCTTAGTCAAATGGATTGAGTCTTATTTAACAATATTGGCTGAGTTGACCACATGGATTGGATCATACTTAGTCATATGGGTTGGGTCATACGTTATCGCATGAGCTAGGTCTTACTTGACCATAAGGGTTGGGTCAACCTGGTTTGGCAGATCAACTTGATGCAAGTGAAACCTACGTCATAAAATTATAATAATCATAATATCAAGATTTCAAAACATAAATCAAAGCTGGTTAGAAAAAAATAAATGATCCTACATCTTTTTTAGAAATCCTCTCATTAATCATTGCACTAGCCACAGTTATGAAGGAAGAAAAGCCCCCTTTATATTGGAGAAATGAGCTCTCTCTTCCAAAGGTAAACAATAATTTAAATTTTATTTTAATAAAAATATAATATTTATTTTTTATGGTTCATACAAAAAAATGAAACTTAAACTATTTACTTTGTAAAAATCATATCAGTAGTTAGGAAATAAATTAATTAATAATTTAATTGATTGGTAAAATTTTTAATTTATCCACATGATTAAAAAAATAATTTTAATCTCTTTCTTAACCATACTCCATAAATAAATAAGTTAATAATTTAAATAAAAATAAGATATTATTTATAATAATTAATTTATATTAAAGGAGAAAATTATTGGTGATTATAGGTTTTTTCAAGGCAATCACCTAATAAATAATAATATGAAAAAAAGTAAAATAATTTTATAAATAGAAGACAATAAAAAAATACTCAACACACAGTTTTATAAAAGAAGTCAAAGTGAAAGGAAGATATTATTATTATTATTAAAATAATTTTTAAATAAAATAATATTATATGACCTTAAAAGCATGGCTACACATTCTACTAGTATATCTTAACATAAAACCAACCAATCCTATCCTTGGGAGATGGTTCATTGTGAGCTCCATCAAAACTTACCTTAACCCACCCTAGAAACAAGCCTAGTCTATTGGATCCTAATTTGGCAAGACTAACTAACTTCAACTTCCTTTACATTTTTGTAAATTCGTTGAATTCATTGCATAAACAACAACTTCATAAGCTAAGGAGGAAGGAAAAGACCAAACTAACTCTATTAAAAATAATATCATTATGAGCCTTGTAGATCAAACAATAAGAGCATATCAATACTCTCAGGAAGATTATCACCCTCTTTTCATTCCCTAATCAGATCAAACCTAATGTTCATCATACCTTTATATAAGGATAAGATTCTCTAAGAAGTAAAAAAGTTAAAAAAGATATGTTGCTACTCATCAATGTCCCCACTATAGATCAGAAGGAAAAGAATATTTAATTATCTTAATCATGCAACAAGTTCTTTAGTTAAAGACTTTTGAAGAAATATGTTTTAGACAAGAAAAACAAAATGACTAATAAAAAATGATCCAGAGATTATTCAAACATTCAAAAGACTCAAAAAGAATACCTTAAATTAGTTATTAATGATGCCAACAGATGGATAAAAGGACAACATCAGCATGATGATTGCTAAAAATAATATTTATATGATGTTGATGATGGTGTTAAAAAACCAAGATACATCATTAAGCTTTAAGAAATTTTATTTTTGATCATAAGCTAATTATTCTTTTTATCATAAAACATGGAATAGACAATTCCACCAGCAATTAAGATTCATTAATTGCTAAGGTATCTCTTGATAGGGGGTTAATTATAAATTATCCTTATAAATTAGTTATCTTTAACATCTCGATCCATGTACTTTGAAACGTTATATTGAGATCCTTATATTTACGAAAGTGAAACATTGAAATCTTTATACAAGGTTAAAGCGATAATTTTATATGATTAAAAATTAAAAGAGAGAACAGTTTTGTTGGAGTAATCGAGTTAAATATTTCACTTTCATAAATATATGAATCTCAATATAATTTTTAAAAATATAAAAATTAAGATATTAAGGATAACTAATTACGGAAGATAATATATAATTAATCATAAATTATGAGTAAAACTTAGTTATGCCTACTAGTATTGCTAATAAATATTAGCTAATTAAGATGCTATATTGGTCAAAGTTATATATCTAAGTTTAGGCTGGTTCATTTTTAGTCTCAATTAATCCCATGATAGAAGAATTATGAATGTATATGAACACAATTGAGCCTAGACTTGGTTATAAGAATTTTGGAGTAGTTGCTAATAAATATACTAATCCCTCGTTACAACATAGCTATCTTCTTATGCTATGAATGGAGATGATGAGATGTGACAAATTAGTGACCACAAATGTCACACTTGTACACTACTTCACATGTTGTCTATGATGTCATTGATCGATAGGATGTAACCATCATAGGACCTATCGTGTCGCCCAATAGAGAGTTTGGACCACTTGAGCTCATCCTTTGATGTGCCTCTCATAACTATAGCTTCCACCGTAAAAATATCATATGGATCATGCCATGTTAAACAACTACCATACCATTAAAAAAGCTTTTAGTGATTTTTTAGAAACTGAATTTTCTTTTTATTGTTGCAATGCAAGCATACATAACAACTAATATTTTTCATCTTTCTAACAAACTTAAAAATATTGACTCGTTAATTTATTGAGTTTGAATTATCGGTCGCATTTAGACTTAAGTAAATGTCAGTATATTCAAACATAAATATTATATATATTTTTTTAAAAAAGATAGATAAATTACAAAATGTTTCGAGTATATTTAAACTCTATGAGGAAAAAAAAAGAAAAGCCTAAAAAACATTCATCAATAAATTCAAGAAGATAAACATATACATTGATGATAATAATAAACAAGTCAAAATTTATTTTAGTAAAATTATGAAAAAAACATATAGCCAACTTTAAGTAAGATAGTCTTGAGATCATAATATAATATGAGGAAAAAGATAACTAATGATTCCATAAATTTTTCAGGAGAACTTATCGTAATCAAATCCTTAAAATCATGCCTCGATAACTAATAACATCGTATGGATGTAAGGATATGTCAAGAAAGTTAGTAACTTTATTGGAATTTCATCTTCTATTAACAAATAATTCATGCAATGAATCAGGGACATGATAATTTTCTAAGATATGTTATCAAAAAGGGAATGAATGTTAAGATCCTTCCCCAATGTATTTGGTTAATGATAAAAGGAGAAAGTACTTCCATTTCCATTGTTGTTGATGTAGGATTAAATCGAGAAATTATATAAATGATCGTATATTTAAAGGAAAGCCATGAGAAGATGCTAGTATTAACCATAAGAAAATACTTAAAAATTTGTTATTCTTTTATGTCTACTTAGCTTGAGTTATCTGACGTAAAATCATGTAATGTTAGCATCAATTCATCAATTGATTTTATCATCAAAATCTAAGATTCAACAGCACCAATAATAAGAAAATACCAAACAACAATTATTTCATGTAAAATTATGTAATGTTAGCATCACATCTCTCTTGTTTCTATCCCGATCCTTCGATCTGTATTAATTTAATTATGTTGAACAAAAGATGCCCCAACCTATTTGCATGCCACATTTAGATTAATAGGATAATTTAATTATTATCTCATCATCTAAATATTAAAATCTTATTAATGATACCCACAACGGAACATAAAGGTGCTCAAATTTGTGTATGTCTGTCAATTAAATGTGGATGGTACAAAAATACGGATAACATAAATGTTAAATAAAAATATTTGGTAAAAAAATAGGGGAAAAAAAAAGGAAAAGAAAAGTGGAGGAAGATATGGTATATGGGTGTGTGTACTGTAGAAAATAATATTCTATCGACTCTTTCATATGTTCTCCTTCCGACTACGTCTCGAAGCCATGGGCACGGGGAGGTTCCCAAATTAGGGTTTTCGCCATGAAGGATTTCGAATGTGTAAGTCACTGATTCCCCCCGTTTCCTTTCGATTCGTCCGATCCTGCGCTGTTGATTCGCTGATTCACCGCCCAAGGAAGTCGCCTCCCTCCTTGATCAAGGTTTCGAGCGGGTTACGGCTCCGAGATTCGAAACATTGGGATTCTAGGGTTAGATTTGTGCCATTGGGTTGCTTCGTGGCTAGGAATTGGGAGATCTCTTCAAGTTCGCTTTTCTTGTGTTTTTTGAGGAAATTTTGATCGAAGAGGCCGCTGATCGGAACGTCGGTTGAGGAAGAAGCGCCGGAAAAGAAGATTTGATTTTTTAGGGTTTGTAGGTTGTTGGATTTTGCCGTCGTTGGTCACCGGTTCTGGGATAAATGTGTATAATTTGTGTGGTTCAGAGGTGGTCGCGGTGGATCGCCACCATGCTGCCTTGGCTGTTGATCCCGCTGCTTCTGTTCTGGGCCATGTCGCCGTTCCTCCCACCGGGTCTCCGATTCGAGATCACCTCGCCCCGGCTCGCCTGCGTCATGGTCCTTCTCGTGACCCTCTTCTGGTACGAGATCTTGATGCCTCAGTTGTCGCTTTGGCGGACCCGCCGGTCGGCTCGCCTGCGGGAGCGCCGCCGTGCCCTTGCGATTGAGATGCAGAAACTTAAGAAGACTGCAACCCGCCGCTGCCGGAACTGTCATACTCCGTACCGAGACCAGAACCCCGGTGGAGGACGCTTTATGTGCTCGTACTGCGGCCATGTTTCTAAGAGGCCTGTCTTGGACCTTCCACGGTCGGTTGGTAGTTCAGGAGTTAATGATCTTGTTGGCAAGAATGGATGGATGTGTAGTCAGGACTGGTCAGCTGAGGGGAGTAGGAATTGGGCCAACCCTCTTCCCCACTATTGGCCAAGTGATGATCAGTGCTCCACGGAGAAGTCGTGTTCTGGTGTGGTGCTTTTTCCTTGCAAGCTGCTATTTTGTTTCTTTACTTGGTTGTTCAGAAAAGTTTTTGGATTTGGTTCGAGGGAAGATGGCTCTGATGCAGACCAGAGTGGGTCATCATCTAAGAGAGGGGAAAATGGAGGAAACCTGCAGGAGAGCAGATGGGAGAAAGCTAGAAGGAAAGCCGAGGAGAAGCGTCAAGCAAAGTTGGAAAAAGAGATGCTGGAAGAGGAAGAAAGAAAGCAAAGGGAGGAGGTTGCAAGGCTGGTAGAAGAAAGGAGGAGAATACGTGATGAGATGCTGAAAACTGAGAAAGAGCATTCTGAGAGTTCTGTTGCTCATAGGGAAAGGGATAATAGGAAGGTAGCAGAGAGAGGAAGGCCTGAAAGAAAGAAGGACAAGGATAAAGGATCCAGCAAAAGTAATTCTGATGTCGAGGACCTAGATAAGAGGATAAACAGGGAAAGTGAGAGAAAGCGTGAGTTTGAAAAGAGGAATGAGACTGAAAGACGGGATTCATTGAAAACAACAGATATGCACAAGCCACATACATCAGGGGCTTTGCATGGGAATAAAGTAACAAGTAAGCCTAGATACTTTGCTCGAATGACAGGTAGTTTTCTATCTTCTTCTAGAAGTTTAAGTGGTGCCACTTTTTTCGGGAGAAATACTCATATCCCAGCTACCGTTAACAAAGCTAGTAAGCCATCTGCTGGATTCATGGATCATGTTTCTGATAAAAAAAGAGATTCTCAAGTGATCGGGGATAAAATGGTCAAGGCTACTCCAAATGGAGATGGTAGAGTTCAGGGGGCCAACACTCATGAGCCTGTGAGTTGTGATACACTAAGTCTCTTTCTTTGATTGTTGTGTATATTCATTTCCATGTATGCTTTTGAATTTTTTAACTTATTAATTAATGCTGGCTGTTGATCTCTTTACATTTTCTAGGTAGGTTCATATGCACAATTACTACAAGGTACTTCCAAAAAATCATGGCATCAACTGTTTACTCGTTCAGCTACTGTATCTCCTTGCCCTGACACGACTACTACATATCAAAATGAGAATGTCCAAGTAGAAGCTCAAAGTGAATGTTTAGGTAATAAAAGATTGCTGCCTAGTTATTCTTCTGGGCAACCATTGCCTTCCGCTGCCTGTACATCAGTCGATGGTGCCTTTAGTAGCAGTTCAGTCTCTTCTTTGGTAGCTGAATCATTAGTTCCTTCTTCCAAAGATGCAGGTGCAAGTTCAATAGCAGATGAAACAGAACTCTTTGAAGATCCATGCTATGTTCCAGATCCAATATCCTTACTTGGGCCAGTTTCTGAATCGCTTGATAATTTCCCATTGGATTTGGGGGCTGGGTTTCTTTCTAGTGATAAGGTGGAAAAGCCTCAAGTCATTGGGATTCTTTCTGGTGACAAGGTGCAAGAGCCTCAAGTCATAAAGAATATATCTGCTCCTCGAAACATATCCAAGCCTTCTCCAATTGAGTCTCCTATCTCGAGATTGCGTGTTTCAGATGAAAAACAGACTGCATTGGGCCAACTTCCATGTAATTCAAAGTCACAGGATTCACATCCTACTATTGTGGATGAGTCACAGGGTACTTGGCAAATGTGGGGAACTCCACTTGCTCATGATGGTTTGGGATTAGGTGGGCCTTCCAGCTGGTTTTTGCCCATAGGGCAGAAGAATCTGAAACAAGAAGACGCCATATATCCTTTTCCTCACAACCCTATGACATCATTTATTGCAAAGGAGAGTCCTACTCTTCTGGGTATACAGGCTCCTCAGCATGTATATGATGGTAATCAGCAGAATGGTGGGACATATAATTTCCATGGTGTTGGTATCAATGGCAGTGATCATTGCTTGCAGAAATCACCCTTCCAGTCATTGCCTGTTGATGCAAAAAGCAATTTGCTTCCTGTTGGTCTTGTGGATAATATGCAACACATTGACCCAAGACACAATAGTCCAAAAAGGTCATCTGCTGACTGTCCTTTTGAGCCAGCCCCTGCAAATTCTTGGTTCAGGTAAGTATCTAACATGCATTACAATTATTCTATTGTTGAATTCCATTTATTGTAGAACTGTTTTGTTTGGCACCTGTGCTTATCTGTGTCATCGAAATTGAAGACCAAAGAATAGTTCTTGCTGTGGACAAATTACATGTTGTCGTAGTTGGATTTGTTTGTTTACTTGTATTTGGACCTAGGTGTGTTTGTTGTCTTGCCTGCTGGTTTCCTATCTGACACTACAATGTATTGCCTTCCGACTCTTTTCTTGTATTATAATTAAAAGGTTTAATGAATATAACATATTGCATTGCATCTATCTAATACTAAGTTTCCTTGCCTTAGTTATTTGTTCGTTCGCATTGTGAACTTAAACGGTCTTATGTAAGCTAATTGCAAATTAGGCATCATGTCATCTTAGCGAGATTGAAAATTTGTTCCTTGGAAGATATTTAACAAGGATTAGTGATGCTGATAAAAGAAGAAAGATAACCTTTACTCTTCTGGTTTATGTACATTTTTTGATAAATTCTTTGAATCATGCAAATCATAAAAGGTCCTTGTATTTTTGTGATGTTTGGAGGGTTGAGAAATGTTTTCTGTAATTCTTAAATCTTAAAATTGAGGATGACGTTTTTAGTTCTTTGCTATAATTGGAATCTTCATGCAGATTCCTTATTTTGATAGATGGTGGTTAAACTTTCTTCCACATTTGGTGACTTCATTTAGTAAATAAGATATGTTACCATTTCCAGGACATGTTCATGCAACTTCTTACTCTGGACATTATTTATCTCTTTGTTGACTTGTATGTCCCGACCATATTAAGTATGGAAGTGTGTGTTAATTAGGGAGGTACTTACAGCCTTTTTCAACAGCGCGGAGTGCCTTTTTTTTTTGTTTCCGTGTATGTTGAGATGAGCTGCTTGGCCATTCAGAATTCTGTTTTTTTTAAGTTCATCTAGTTTGATATTTAGAAATTAGAATATGAAGTCATGCTCTATCATAAAAATCAAGGTTAACAAAAGAAATAAGCAATTGAATTAGGAAAACTGCTTCAAAAGTCCATTTTCTTTTGCTTAAGTTAGTGTGGTAGGTGCTTGATTAAAATTTCATTTTTACTTGGTACATTGCATATGCTTTCTAATATTAGGACTCAATAAATTTACAGCCATAAAGTAAAAGTGTTTGTCCATCCCAAAATTTCGAAATTATGTCTATTATGGGCAAAATCAGCCATAACTGACATGATACTATATATATTTGTCAAAATAAATATTTTTGCAGCTACTGTTCAGAACCATTGCCTTTTGATATTTTAGTACATTGCCATTGATGGAGCTAAATGGGAGCCTTACACATTGTCAGACTCATTGCCGAAGTTGTGTGATAATCTTGGGTATGAAATCCTTTAAAGGACTGGTAAAAGAGAAAAGGACGAAGTGAACAAGTGAATGCATTGATGTCATCCCTCTACTGAAGTGTAAACTCAAGATACCATAAACAAACATAAAGTAAACATTTTATAGACAATACAAAGTATAGAGATGGATTTTGCAATCTTTGAATGGTCATGCAATAAAGGATCCCTTGCCACGCATAAAAGATGCGTAAGTACCTATCCGACACTGCTGCCAGACTAAGCAATAAACCAACCTGGGACACTACTTTGGTGTCCCATCCAACCTTGTGCCACTTGGGGATTCTAGGGGTTTGTGTTTCGTGCCATATCTCTGCTTTAGAAAATCCCAGCAAGTTGCGAGTTGGAGGCTTCATTTTCAGACAGTTTTGCCTTGATGTGATGACAACATGCAAGCTATGGTTATAAGCTAGAAATGGCCACAAAATTCAATCAAAATGGGGCTGCTAAGTCTACTGTCAATGTCAATCTTTTACATGCTACCTGAGGTATGAACAAATTGAAAAGTTCAAACATTACATCAGACACCCTTGCTATGGACAGTAACAAGGACAACCAAATTACACTATTGGAGGACTAAAGATGGCCTTCATGACTCATACATCATGTCGTCTTTAGTTTAATATTTTTTTCTTATGTATTGGCCCCCAAATATGTCAAAAAGGAAAACTGAAAAAATACAATACCACGTCCTAGGAATCATATTACTTGATTCAAGGTCAGTTGATCGGGAATCTACCATTTATAGAGAAGCTTTACTTCCATTTTTTTCTTTTGAGATATGATCTTCCTTATATGTAAGATTGTTGCTTAGGATTAGTTTGTTTCTTTAGCAGATGCAATCAAATTTATTTTCCTAATCATCATTCATTTTTTAGCTTAATTTTTTCCTTATCTTGTATAATATTGGTAGGTGATGTAGAAATACACAAGATTTTGTGCCATGTGGCAACTTCCAAACAATCAAAATATTTAAAAGATTAAAATTACAAAAATTGACTTTTACATCAGTTCAAGCGGTGTTAAGATATGGTATTTCATAAAGTGACATAAGACAAAAAAGTTACTTGGCGTTTTCTTGATGTCATGCTAAGATATGGTATTTACTCCGACCTTGATGTCATGCTGATCTTTAAGCTTTATTCTTGTCCTTGTCATAATATAGCTAGAGAAGAAAGATATTTTGTTTGAGAAACTGAATACCCTAACTGTATTAAGATAAAATTATCCTTTATGTCAAATAATGTTGACAAAAATCATGAAGTGCATCAAAAAAACTATTGGAAGTATTTTTGCTCCGAAACATGATTCATGGTATCGATCAGTTCCTATATGACATCCAATTTTTGTTAATATCTTCCAAGATCGATCTGATTTTGATCAATATCTTGGTCTTATAGTAAGAAATCAGTAGGAAAGTTGGAAACAACTAAATAAATATAATCAGGTGGTGTCGGCTGATTTTGGTTGATTCAGTCTGATTTTTACCTTCTCAAATAAGAAGAGAGATTGGAGAAGAAGAGGTAGGCTGAATTAGAGAAAAGTAAAAAATATCTATGGTTCTGTGAAATAAATGAAACAGTCATTGTTTGTTTTTTGTTGCAACGATGCTTTTCTCATTGACCATTTTGCTGCAATTCACCATTCATTATCATTAAAATGAGGAAAGGTTTTAGGGATCTAAAAGGGTGGAATTGAGGAAAGTCCTTGACTTCTCAATGAAATAGGGATGCTTTCATACAGAGAGGATGTTGAAGATAATCCCAATTCCTTGGTATGTTTATGCTTTAATCTACTTTCCACCTGAATGATGATTGCAGAAGCATTTAGGCCATAGCAGAGCTTTTATGTGATTGTAACTGTTACTTTAATAATATCTTTGTATAATATGGTTATATTTAAAATTTAATAATTATATAATAGTTTTAAATGAATTATTCTCTATTTCTTGTTGTTATTATATTTTTTAAATCTTTTATATGTTAATTTTATTTTTATTTGAAAAGACAGATATCTTATGAAATATGTTCCTTATATTTTTTTTTATGTTTTCTAGTATTTTGCTATTTATATGATTTTAATGATTTTTTAGGATTAAAATTCTAATTTATACTTTTTTGTTGATCCGATTCTGTTGATTACATCTGATTGTTCTGTTGATCCTGATTATATTGTCCCTAGTCAATATTGGTTTTGAAACCAATTTTACCTACTAGCCTTTATTAAATTGGAACTTTAAGTTCACAATAATGGTATAACTGAAATCAATATTTAGTGCAACTGGTCTACAAACTGGTCTGTAAGGCTCTGTGAGAAGTTGTGCAGGCAGATTGTGGACCGTAGAGTGGATCTAGGATTTTCTCTGGTTTTTTGGGTTGACTGACAGTGAACCTGTGGACATGTTATAATTGTAGTGTTGCCTTATTGATGTGCATTTCTTGATGGTGAATGGAAGGTCTGGCATTAGAGGCAGCTGAAGCTGGACCAATATATTGTATATAATCCTTTTCTTTTTTTCTTCAGTTGTTTAGCTTTTTGCATTTTTTCTAATTTCTCTTACATAGACACCTATCATGAATGGTGACAAAACATACCAAAATGTGTTCATTTGCTAGCATGTGTGCAGATGTCCCTAGATGAGGACTATATTGAGCAATGAAATATCTATTTTTATAAATCTATAAAATTCCTAAAGATCGGACTCCCTTGAGAACTCATCATTGACATTTGTAGATGACTAATTGATTGATGAGAACAATCATGCCTTTTAAAGCTGACTTGATGAAATTTGTTTCTGAGGCTTAGTTGAGAATTGTGTGATTTATGTTCGAAGAATTGTGGTGCGTAATATAGTTTTTCATGTAGTCTTGAAATTCTGGAGGAGCTATGATTTGATGAATTGGTATTCCTGCATATGACTCGAGAAAAAGTCTGGTCATTTCTGAACATGTGAAATTACTGATTTAGCATTTTGATGTTGTCATGACATATTGACCTCTTAGTTGTGTGAAAATTTATTAGTTAGTATATTAACGAGGACATGATTTTTAATTATATTGGATCAGCCTTTTATCACTCATGTCAATGCTGTTGAGTTTGATCAGTTGATTTCTTGATCTGATCGATCTCATTTGCTTGGTCTTATCATGTTTGGAGATATTTAATATAGATTTGGTCCAAACATTTTGTGTTTACTTAGGCTTGGTAATGTTTAATTATTGAAAAGATCTTGTTCTGATTTTGTTTCATCATCTTTTGTGGTACTGATGAATTGGATTTTGTTTTGAGTTGCTAACAGTTCATATCATAGTCATATACTCCAAGCAGTAATCACATGTGAATTTGCACAAGAAGAGGGTTTATTATTAGCAGTTGGTCCTGATGACTGATGTCTTGTCTTTTGGCATTAAGCATCACAATATTATATAATTATTAGATTTATTTTCTTTTTCTCCCTTGTTTAGAGGGTAAGCTTTGAAGTAGCATTTCATTTGCTCTGTTGCAACCTTGGAATCATTCATGGCATATGAGGATGAGGTTTGCATCAAATTCTCCCTGGGAAGAACCTAATTGTCTTTTTTTTAGGCTTATTGTGGAGAGAAAGCTAAAGATGCATGTCTTTGTGTTTTATTTTTTTTTAATTTTTTGCCTTGCCATACATTTGATGGCAGAACATGAAGCTCACGAGAGCAGTAGCTTCGTATCATGATATGCATCCTATTCATGATTCTTTCCTACTTATGACCCTTACTGGATTCAATATTAGGACCATTCTGATTTAACTTGTTACGAACCAATCCAGTGAGATAACTGATCTATTAGTTTTATAACCCTGAATCATAGATCCAAAATGCACAAACTCATGATAATAATTGTGGTCTCATCTACTCGTTTAAACTTTCTCAATTCTTTGACTTCCAATGTGGGGTTATATTAGGATGCCACAATTAACATATGTCACATTTTGTGGTAGTAGTTTCATTTTTAGAAAAGACTTTGATAGTTAAAAGTTATAAAATGACTATTGTTAGTGATACAACAAATGGTAAAGGAAGATTTAAAAGAACCTTAATATAAACTATAAATAAGGATCTAAAAACTCTTAACTAAACATTTAACCTTTTACAGATCTCAATCATGGCAAAGGATTCATGTAGCCGACTCCAAGTAGTTGGGACTTATGGTTTTGTTTTTGTTATTGTTATTGTTGTTTTATTTCTAGAAAAAGAACAATTTAACCTTCACATGGGTTTATTGTGATATGATATAACTGTGTGAACTATAATTTGTAATTTTCCAAACCATTGATCAAATAATGCTTAATTTCAACATCATAGTAGTAGACCTATCTAGCACTATAAACCAACTCAATTCACCAAAATTTGATATGGGACTAAGTTGGGATGTCACAATTGATATCTTTGGTAATATGCCTTATTTAACTTGGCTAAAAAAACTGATATATACATGCTGGTAATAATTTCATTTCTGAAAAAAAGGAAAAAATAATTTAAACTTTAACTTTGTGAACCTTGAATACTTGTATTTGTCACTGTTCCTTGCTCAGTACTTTTAATTATTATCTGTGAGTCTCAAGCTTGCATTTCCCTATTCTTAATTTTTTTTAATGACTAGAGAAATTTATTTATTTTTCCTTTGCTGTACAAGCTTAGACTACAAACAAAAAGGTATATAATTGTAGTACCAACCATATGTTGCAAAAAATTAGGTTCTGGATCAATTTTTGGATCTTCTAGAAATGAATTACCACATTTGAGTATTTATCCTTGGATAAAAACAATCTTTTGCATCCAGTTCAGGTAACATGGGTATTTTGGTATATTGTCATCATAATTGAGTGAGTACCTTCTCTTCATATTTTTAGCAAGTCAGGTTGGATTATATAATTCATCCCTGGCCACTGATTTCTGGAATTCAAATATGGTAGAACTTAAAAAATAGAAATATGTCTAGGAAGAGGTACTTTCCTTTGATCAACCATAGGACAGTTGATCTAGAGATACTTGCTTCTGTTATCCATAAGACCTCCTCATTTAGCAACACTATTTGGGCTCAATCTTCCTTTTATAATGTGTCAGTTTATACCCATTCATTTGGTTTTGCAGATTTTGCAAGACTGTGTTCTTTTTCTTCTTCTTTTCAATGGACTAAGTGAGATTGGCCTATTTTGTGTTAAAGTGGCATAATTGAGAGTACAAAATTAAGCATGATATCATACAAATTTATGTACAATAGGCATCATATTTTGGAATTATTCTTTTTCGTGAGGATATTCTGATTCGTTGTATCTCAATTTGGATTGATTAAAGGATTGTAACCTTGCCTATATTTTCTCATTCCAGAGATGGCAGTCTTCCGAATGTTGGCAGGGTGGAGTGGGCAGCTACTGGTCCTCAGCACGATGGAAACTCTTCCTTTGCAAACTCAAATATTGGAGGCTTGTTCTCAGCTAGTCCAGAGACAGCATCAGTCTGGTCGTTCAGTCAAAAGGAGTCGGTATAAAACACTGAAGAACTTGTTCATTTTATCTTAAAGCTAATGAAATGGTCATCTCACTAGCATGATTAGAGATGCATGCATGCATTCATGAATCCCTTCAAGATGCCCATTAGTCTTGTTAGAATGAGTTTATGAGTTGGCAGGTTGATAATGAAGAAGCTCATCATTTCTTTTTTTCCATTCCCTCTTGGTGTATTGTCATTTGGAAATAATATTTATGTCCTTTGCAGTCGAGTCTAACCCGTCTCTTACGTTTATTTCTGATAGAGGTTTTAAATAGGTAATCCATATAACAGCACATGGCCGAAGGTTGGAGATATAATTGCAAAACGCTCTGGAACTTGTTTCAACAGTTTGCAACGTTTCACAGGTATGATTCGTTTGGTACTCGGGAAATTATGGTGGGATCAGCGGGATACAATTTGAGGAGGTAATGCATTGATCGAACTTATGGTTTGTGCAGTCCCAATTCATATTAGTTGAAGGTTCTTAATCTGACATCGATAGTCGGGTGTCAATCTTGGCTTAATGATTTGTGCCGCAAAGTATTCGTCTTATTGAATCGGGATCTCATGCTTGGGGCCTTTGACGAGAATCTCTATATTAGTTCGATCTTTGTTCTTAGGTGTAGAAAACCTGTGGTACTGATACGGAGCACTCTTGTTTCTCTGTTAGTCCATGTAGATCAGTAAAAGGTAAGGCTTGATAGAACGGTAAGGTTGGTGAGAGATCAAGATTGTTTCTTTATGATACAAGAGACCAGAGTTTGAGTCATAGAAATACTTAACATGCATTTAGAGGAACAGCAATAATTTCATGCCCTTATATATATTTCGGGACGGAGACTAGAAACTGGTCAGAGATCAATACAGGTCTGGGACGGAGACTTGAAACTTTACATGAGTGTTAAATGGATCCAGATCTTGCAGCAACTAGTAAGTCTGCCCGAGTTTTCACCGTAAATTATCCACAAGATCACAAACGCAAGCACGATGGTGATGAACAAACAAATCAACACGAGACTCCTACTGTAAAGCAGCAGCATATAGAAGGAAAAGGCTTCTTATATCCATTGGAATTTTTAGGAGTTGTCCTCCCAGTTTCAGAATCACCATATAAAGGGCAAACAGAGAGGTAAACAAGACAATGCCTTCTTACATCCATCCAGGCAACATATCATTACTTGTTTTAATTGGCTAACTGAGAGTCCAAACTCGACAGAGAGGATTGTGTGTTCTCTCTCTGTTTGCCATCGGAAACACTAGCTGAGGAGGAGCTTCTTTGTCTAAAATTCATGACCATAACAAACAAGCTTATGCTATTTAAAGCAGGGAGATGAAGCTACACTAATAAGCAAGCACTAGTGGCGAAGTTGGAACTCATAGTTGCAACTTTTGCTTCCATAGTGAAATCTCACCTGAAGAGGCCGAAGAACATCTCTCTGCCAATAACATCTATAAACAACATACATATATACACAACATGTAGAGAGTGTCGATACGATTGGAAATGTGTCATGAAGCTGACAGCCAAGAATTACCTAAGAAAAATGTAAAGTTGCATGAAAATTACTTGATCAAGGAGCTTCTTGTAATAATGACACTTCTGAAAGTACAGTTAATCACCTTGCCATGTCCACACGATATCCTTCAGAGCTGGCCTCATGCCCTCTTTTATCAACTTCTGATACTCTACAGTGTCACCATTGGACTTCTTTATTTCCACCAAACGAAACAAAGGGGTGATCTCAAAGATCTCGGCATCCATGGCTAGAACACCTTTCTTGCCTTCATCCAATCTCTCTATTTTTATAACCCCAGTGTCCTTCTTCTTAATCTTTAACTTCAGATGCTTGGCTAAGTCCTCAAACTTTGAGATGATGGTTGATGGTGGCATGTTGGAAGTGAATAGTGCTTCTTTATCTTGGTTCCACTCCCGAAACAGACCCGAAAGATTGAATCCTGATAGAAGAGTGATGATATCGAAAGCATTCAATTTTGTGACTTCATCCGACTCTTGCATTCCTTCATCAGTTTTGCTACCGACGGAGTTGAAAGCTCTGGACACATCCATGAATACTTTGCTATTTAATTTCTTGTCATCAGTCTCTTTTCTGAACCATTTACTTTCGGTAATTGTTGACATTGAAATTCTGGTACTTGGATTAGGATCTAAAATTTTTGATATCAGCTTCCGGACATCAGATGAGAACCAACTAGGGAATCTGAACTCACTTCCCCCAATTTTCCTGTACATCTCCATGAGATTTGAATCGCGAAAGGGAAGATAACCTGCCAAAAGCACAAAAAGAATCACCCCACAGGACCAGATATCAGCTTTGGCACCGTCGTATCCCGTTCTACTGATTACCTCAGGAGCAACATATGCTGGAGTCCCACAAATAGTGTGCAGTAGTCCATCTTGCCTCTTGGAATCAGCAAGAGCACTCAAACCAAAATCTGATACCTTCAGGTTCTCATTATCATCCAATAGTAGGTTTTCGAGCTTCAAATCACGGTGGTAAACGCCTCGACTGTGACAGTAATCGACAGCGATGACCAGCTGCTGAAAGTATCCTCGTGCGACATCCTCTTGTAGCCTGCCTTTGGCAACCTTGTCAAATAGCTCACCACCTTTTACATACTCCATGACAAAATAAATCTTGCTCTTGCTTGCCATGACCTCAAAGAGGCGCACAATATTTGGATGCCTCACCAGCCTCATTACTGATATCTCCCGCTTGATCTGTTCTGCACCACCAACTCTAAATACTTTCTCCTTGTCAATCATCTTAATGGCAACGCTCTGGCCAGTTCTAAGATTCCTAGCATAATATACCTTTGCGAAATTTCCTTGTCCTAGTAATCTCCCTACTTCAAATCTTTGCATCAGGATAGGCCCTCTGTTTTCCATGTATGCTTATGATACTTCAAACCAGACCGATACTACACAATATTTACAACGCCCGAAGACCAGACGATGTGTCACCGACTCCTACAAGGCTGTTACTGACTATCAACTGACCCTATAACACTGTTAAATCGGCCCCGACGATGGATATACTGGATTCTGCCATGCTTCCAGGTCTTATTTACAATGAGAAAGGATCATGCAACTGGAGTAACAATCCTGTAAGCACAGTTGAAGCGATCCTGTTACACGCATCTTTCTTCTTGGACAATGCTGAAAGAAGGGAGAATCCACGTTAATTCTCGCAACTTAGTCAGCTTCACATACAAGCTAAAAGATTTTGCAGGTATAGTGAAAACTAATTTCATAGTCACAAATGACACAGGATCATAAAAGACAGCAATAGCAATTAGAAAACACATGATCAATCTAACCATATGATGACTTATAGCCAAAGAAGCTTCCATTGTGATCCTATACCACTTTTTTTGTTATATTTAGGAATACTTTCAATATTGAAGATCACGTACATCTGTACATGGCATATAGATGCAGGAATAGTGCTTTGAGCCAAATTAAAACATCTGATAAACCTTACACAGGAAGGAACAGCAAAATCTTGGTCTTTCAATAGATATCAATACTTGATATCCATAATACAATGGAGAAAAGAAAATTGTCTCATATTTTCTGCATTTAATTCAATGGCCACTGACAATGATGGATAACCATTTCCATCAAACTCCAATTACCACAATCTATCACATGACTCGTTTGATGTCTCTTCAAAGATTAGCAGTTCCGGAACTCAAGATGACAGCAGAAACTTTCCAACATATCTAAACTAACAACGAAAGGGCTTTCCTAGCAGAAAACAAATAAATTCTTTCGCGACATATAAAAAAACTGCCATCCAAATGCAACGATACTTGCGAAACTTTCACCACAATCCACACGAAATCGTCGAAGAACCGCTAACATCACCGAGTTCGAACACGAAATCACCGTCACAGCACTAGAAATCAAGATATTTTACGGGGATCCAGCAAAAAATAGAAAGGAGGAGACCAAAAAGGCGAGACGTTTCCCCACAAATCCCACTAAAAAACTCGCCTTTTCCGATTCATCGAACAACCGCAACCAACACGAGAACAGAGACATCTACGCAGCCCTAACACAAGACAAAGGTGTTGTTACCTTCCCAGCCTTAGTGGCAGAACACCACACCAACCTCGCCTCGACCTCGGAAGCGGAATCGGACCGGGAGAAGAAAGAAACGTCGGCGGCTCTGCGTCCCACAGCCGCCACTCGCGATTCCGTATACGTCCCGACCGGGCGTTCAAATACCAAGCAATGCGAGAAACGCAGAGGCGAAGCGGCAGGCGCTTCATCATTACCTGCATGTTCTACTTGAAGTACCAAAACTGCCCCTTATAATTCTCATTATGACATACAATTGATACGAAGGTTCCGGAACATGTGGACCCGAATCGAACCAAAATCGACCATCGGTTCGGATTAGACGCAATCCATGTGCGATCGATTTTGTAGATTCGATGAATCGGACTTGGATATGACCTCAGCACATGTCGCCTTCTACTGTCGTTGTCTCTCTAAGGAAAAGGTTGACTTCCTCTTATGGTATCACACGTTTCTTGTTCCACTGCAGAGACACGCCTCTGGCCGACCAGTGTTCGTGTAATCGATCGCAACACACGTCGCTTGTTGTTTCGTTTGCCATACGATTGCTCGTGTCAACCTTTTTTCTTTTTTTTTTCTAATTAGAAGATATTATTATTATATTAAATAACATAAATTTAAATTTAAGACATATTATTTGTGTAACACTATAATAATCTAGTTGGATGTCGCAATACAAATATTATTTTCTCTCGCGTATGGTCAACCACTTCTAATTATAATTGACATTAGTTAATTGGGGCTAAAAAAAAATATAAATACTCAATAATTGGTGTGAATTTTGTCATACCATATTTGCGTCTTGTAAATAATTTAAATATTTTTAATCATACAAAATGCGTAGTAATCGTAAACAATGGTCGATTTATGAAAATCATACTTAGTGTTGTAGGAGCTCAAATTTGGTACAAATATGTTGCACTTTCATCACCATAATGTCTTATTATTAGACGTAACAATTTTTTACTACTTTTGTAATTTTGCTAGAATTATTTTTTATAAATTCATAATTCATGTTCATATGATAAGATGCAGACGTTTAACCAACCAAAGCAGTGGCCATCAGAAATGGCGTCACCCCTACTAATTCATTGCGATGGATAATATTTGAGTTTGCTGTGCGAAATTTTTTTCCAATATATTAATATAGTTAATGTTTTAAGAAAATCAAAATTATTTACTATGATGATACATAAAGAGCAAAATATTTTTTATTTATTTCTTTTTACTTTGGCTCCTTAGCTAATTTCCTTAATAGGTAATACTTGAAATGTGAGGAACATACTTGCAGAATTCACTTTGAAGATTTTATATATATGTGAAAGATTTTATACTGACTAAATGATCTATATTCTGTCAACCATACTTCCATTAAATGAGAATATTTTTCTACTTTGCTGACAAACTACAGTCCACTATTTTTCTTCCATCTTCCAAACTTTGGCTCTCAGTTACTGACCATCTTAAATTGGCCATAGGACAAGTTAAAGAAGAATGTGAAGGCTGTAAGTCTGTGAAATCATACACTTGCAAGAGGATCATTCATATGTCTAAAAACTTCCATTGCCATTTTGCTTGAAAATATAGAGTTCTCAACCAATTTGGTCATGGTTTTGGAGTGAGTGACTGAGAAACAAAGATCAGGTCCCAGCTTCCTCTTGTTGATGATGACGATGAGGTGCTTTGAGCTCTTTGCTGTTGCCAGATCTGTAGCTCCTGTTTGTACCATGTAGGTAACTGAATCCATCCACATCTAATTAAGGCAGACCAAAGTAAATGTTGATATGAATACCAGAGGCTTTGCATGAGCCCTTCTCTTCAACTCAAGTTTAATGTACACTGCATGAGCCCTGGCCATGGAAGGAACCAGAGTGGCCACAAGAAACATCATGAACATGAGAAGACATACTGTGCTCGCTTGTCTCAGTTGGTAATACATCAGGAACAAATGAGTAAGATCCAAACCTCAGGAGGAGGATATTTAGCTCAATTCTGGTCGATAACAATATCATGATATCACAATTATGCTGTCATCGATGTCCAGCAAAGAAGATACAAGCTTCTCTGTTTTGACATGTTCTTTCGCATGGTTGGTCCATGGTGACACAACATCGCATCTTTGACCTGAAATGTTGCAAGCCATGAGCGAAAGAATACGGTGGAGTCGGAGTCGCTCCAGCGGTCTTGTCTTGTTCATGAAGCAGGTGCATGAATGAGTAGCTTCATGTGCTACGTTGTAAGGTAGTAATCCTTCTCATATGCCACTCGTCGAACGGTTGGTGTGCAAGCGAGGGAAGCTGGCTGGGACTCGGGCGGATGGTCAGGGCATGTAGAGCTTGTTGCCGCACTTGCACCGCCAGGCCTCCGGGTAGTACTCCGCGACCACCGCCCTGCCCGGAGGCACCGCCACGTGGACCGGGTTGCACGGCGTGCAGTCGCCGCACTTGGCCGCGCACAGCGGAGGATACGATCCCGGCCATCCGCCTCTTCCACCGCCACCGCCGCTCAGCTCCCGACGCCTCCCCGCCGACGCCTCCTGCGCCCACCTGCCTCAAGCTGGCATCAGCGGCACACGAGGGCTAAGATGTGCCGGGAGCAGCGCCCGGGCTCCGAGCAAGTGGCGCACGCTAGCCGAGGCGCGCTCCATGCACCCTTACGGCGCTCGCAACGTCGTGCTAACGTGCACCACCTGCTTCACCTCCACTGCTTCCACTGGATGCTAACTATCTATTCTACGCAGTCATATAGATCACAGAAACCGACAAGTAGGAAGATTACCTGAGCATGGGAAACACTTGTTAGGCTTCCAACATCTGCGGCAGAAAAGCAAAAAGATTAATTGATGACAAAATACTTGCTAATATCGACAGCTAATTTAGCTCAAAAACAGCCATTGTGCCGAGCATTCATATGACCGACCGACAGATGACCAAAGTAGAATGCAACCATCACCTCTACATCAGAACAAAAGAACGAACAGAGAGGTGAGCTGACAAAACATCCTAATATGTGCTAGAATCTAATGGCTTAACTGAAGCCAAACAAGCAATAATAGAAAGATCTCGTGATGCCATAAATGTGGAATCTTTCTCACCTGGGTGAGCACTCGTGAGGAGGAGAGCAGAAACGGAGAAGAGGCAGATAAGAGCACAGTACAGAAGAAGAGCCATGTTCGAGCCCCTTTCTCCCCTCGAATCCATCAACAGCCCCTCTTAAAGAAGGAAGTAATAGGAGGAGCAAATGGGGGGGAAGAAGAACGGAGCAAGACGAGACCTGGAGGCGCAGCAGCAACCTTCCCCTCCTCTCCCCAGAAACATCAGATCTCTGTGACTGCCTCTGAGACAAGACTAGCAGAGCAATTTAGTGTTGATCGATCGATCTCGCTCTGACACAGGCGCACAGAAACACAGGGAGCACTGTTCGTCGCTTTGTCTTTTATCTCTTGGCCGCTCTAATCAGCGAAGAGAAGTTATGAACGGCTTGATGAGATTTTGTGCGATCGGATTAGCAAGAAGCAGCCAACGCATGCTTCGGGAATGCAGATTTCATCGGCCTCAGTGGTGTTCATGTCACTAAGGTTGCGTTGACCAAAACTCTAAAACTCACCGCGGAACGAAAGCACCTCAGGATTATTAACTTCATCAAAGGATTCCGAGTGAGGAGAAGGGATGGGAAGGTTAAAAGAAAAAGAAAAGGGAGGTGGGAAGGGAAGAGAGACATTTGCTTGTGAAGTGTGGCAGAGTGACTCAGGGCATGCAGAGCACGGTTGTCTCCCTTCACCGTCCTCCCCCTTGTTTTATTCCCTTGTTTTCTCTCTCTTTGTACGGATTTATCCCTCCAAGAATCTGCTCTCTGTTCTGCTTAGCATTCTTTCTCCCTACTATAATAATTATAATAATAATAATAATAATAATAATAGATCAACTAAATAAAATTTTTAGTGTTGTGAGACTAATTTCTTGTTCACCGCTACTAATATTTTTTGACAAAATAAGGATTACTACCTTTTTTAAAAGGATCTGATTATCGGATTTAATCAATATAATTGTTTGATAAGAATCGAAAAGATGATTAGTAGAGTGTCTTAGTTATCATATCCCTTAATCGATGCGAGAGAAAAAATATTATGAGTATGAAATCATAAAATACATATTAAATAATTTTTATCAAATTGAGTATGATTATATATGTGATTATATTTTCAGGAATACCAATGAATTCAATTCTTATAATTACTCTGACGATCTATTTAGTTTCTAAGTCTATTTTTTTTAAAAAAAATTATTAAATATAATTAAAAAATTAATAGATCGATTTCGTTCGATTGTGTGTTAGGGCTATGAACTATAATCATATAATCAACTTAAAACTATATTGGGAATAAGAATAGTTGTGAATGATAATAGATATATTTTTAATTTCGTCCAAATTTTAATCTGATTCTACTTACTAAAATTAAACTTGATACCACTTAAATGTATATTTTTCTACTTGAATTGATCATAAGAGGATCATATTATTATTATAATTATCTAATCTCTTATTATTTTACTAAATAGTAATTTTTCAAGGACAAGTATATATGCAAATCTGCTCATTCATTTTCTCAAAAGAGTACCCAAATCTGATTTAAGAGTCCCCCCAAAAAATTCTGACCCAATAACCAAAAAAATAATTCAAGAAATTAGCTGATTGCTCCTTTCAAGAAGGGTCATAAGATGAGAGCCGGTTGAGGTCACCAAGAACTGAGTTCAAGAATGCTTGAGGTGGTGTGACTGAAGGACTCCGATGAGGTGACACATTGGCTCCTCGGAGAGTGGGGAAAGATTGACCGGTCTTCTCCATCTCCACCATAAGGCTTCGTTCATGGCTCAGTCTTCGCATGTGTCACGAATTTTGATGATAGTACTCCATATATGCTTCGCTATGTTTGACGGTTTGACTACAAGCAAAATAAGATATTCTTTCTACCTCTATGCCTCGTAGAAAATTTAATTCTTTTAAACCAAATAAACTTCATCAAAGTGGAAGTGTTTTTCTTTTTCTTATTTATATTCTAAGGTGAGATTAATTACAGGACTTCAAATTTCCCCTCTTATTTGATTCATTCTTTCCGATTTCCATATGCTTAGAATGTGATGGCGATTCATTATTTGATATTTTTTTAATTTTTTTTCTAAGGATAGATAAGATAAAATAAAACTGTTATTCTAAGAAGAAGGCTTTTCTTTTTCTTTTTTCTTTTCCTTTTTTTGATTTATTCTTTTCGATTTCCACATGTTTATGATGTGATGGGTCATTCATCCTATTCTTTGCATAAAAAGATGTAATTCAATTATGATGAATGAATACAGTGAATCAACATTTTGTTGATGATGAACTGGAAACTAAAATTCATATGTTATTTATTATTTGATTGAGTCTTAAACAATGATAAAAAAACACAAAATTATTATTATTTGCTCTGAGAGAGAGAGAGAGAAATTTTTTTTTGTTTGTTACACTTGAGAATACTTTCTTTTGCACTAAGAGGGTGGCATTGAGCTTCCAACTGCAAAAATCATTGAGAGAGATCTCTTCTCTCTCAAGATGGATCCATTTCCAATGAGCCTATTGTCCAAGCTTGAAGTATGTACTCAACATTTGACATGTGAGCTTCATTGTTGTAGTTTGGCTGGAAATTTCCTTTAACAACTTGTATCCTACAATTAAGCTTAGTTTAGTTATAAGAGAAACCAAAATTCTATTGTCATTCCAATTAGTTTTGTGATTTTTACACCTATCTTATAAAGATTAATTGTAATGTACTAAAAAATCACAAGGTTTATATGACTAACTCCAAAAGAAAACAAGAAAAAGAGATCAAGATTGTGTTGTCTGACAAAGGAGTTGATTATACTATTAACAAGGTTGCCTAGTTTTGCAAAAAAGTATGAGATTAATCCATGAAGTCATTGATTTTTATTCACCTCATTTTAATTGTACAGTAGATTTTAAATACAAGAATCTTATTGGATATTAATCAGTCCTTTAATTCTTAGCTTGATGCTGTATTTTTCAGAAAAACATTTGATAGAAAAATCTACAATATTTCTTTACCCATCTTCTAACTATCATTCTTCTTCTTATACTCATTGATTTTGTAGTTCTACACTTTGCTGATGACATTATAACATCTCCTAGAGAATACAATAATTTCATTCTAAGTTTTTATGACCTCTTTTTATGCTCCTTCATAGATGCACACTAAGTGAGATATGAATTCTCTTTAATTTACTTTTGGAAATAACACTTGGAGTGCACATTAATCTTCAAAACAAGATGAAATAGTAGATTAATATAACTCAAATCGGGTAGTCATTAAGGATTTCTACAAAGTATAACTATCTTAATTTATATATTGCTTTCATCTATAAATAAATAAATAAATATCATTAAATGAATGAAAAGACTGTATATGAAATAACTTAAAGGTTTTGTCTTTCCTAGATAAGAGCATAAAGTGTGTAAGCTAGCAAGTCAAATATGGTCTTAAGGAAGCATTTCAAGAATGATATGATAAATTTAAATATATGATCCTTTCCTTTGTTTTTCCAAATCAATAAATCTGTTGAATACCCATACTATAAAACAAAGATGGTATATTCATTGTTCTTTACCATTTCATTGGTGACTGCTTAATCAATGTTTTGGTCAATGATAAAAATATTCAAATCAATATTTTCTTCTAACAAATCTTTGAAATGAAAGATCTTGGAAAGAAGACATAATCCTAGGAATGAAACTCTAATGAATTTTTTGAATTGATCATACTATTTTAGTCTCATTGCATATTGTGCAGATACATGTAGATATATATCTTTAATTGTTCAGTAATTATAACTCTATTTGATTATACAATTCATCACTTGAAGATCATAGTTAGATATGTGAACCAAAAGTCACACATTCAAATCATAGGTGCAATGTATGTCTCCAAAATGAGTTTTGATACAACAAAAAAATGATAAGGAGTTCACATACATGACATATATGATAGGAATCATTTCATATAATGCACTTCCTTTCCTTAGTATATATTTCCTGATCTCTGATAGGTACAGTCACAAAGCAAAAGCATTTCATCCCTACAGAGAAATTGTCAGTGAAAAGGGGTTCTCCCACTTTACTGGCTGTCTTTCTTAAAGACTAAATCCAGATCGACACTTTCCTGTCACAATGTTTAGGAGTCCTCAAACTTCCTACAACCATTGAACTTCTGAAATTAAACCTACACAATCATATAGTTGATTTCTCACTCCAGTATCTGATTAGTTTTCCAACAAATGCCATGAACTCATTGCTAGCTTGTATTATAGCTGGTGTTTCTTGTTGTTCTTGGAATCACTCTCTGCAGATCTGCTCAGGATGCACCAGCTTTCAATTCATGACTGCTAGATTTATTAGTCTGCTGGATGCTGGAGAGGCAGTTCTTCCACAGAGCCAGGTTTCTGTGTCCCTGTCCTCTAGCTTTGTTTGGTGAGCTGGGAACAGCTGGTAGTGGATTGGTGGTCTCCACTGGTTTATATGGCCTCAAAAAATAAAAATCAATGATTCATCATTTGGTTGCTCATTATGCAAGTAATAGTTATTGGTAAAATGGAATATGCTATAAATGATGATTATATATATATATATATATATATATATATATATATATATACATATATATTATTTTGCAAAGGATAAATGAGTGAAGTGGAGGATAATAGTCAAAATTTATATCTTAAAAAAATGGATAATTAATTAAAAAACTATAGTAATAGAGTTTTACAGGATGATGCTCTCATATTTAATTTTTACCGATGAATACTTTTTTTATTTTTATCAAAATATCCTTAATGAAATATTATTATCCTTTGACTAGGTTTGATTTGATTTTTCAAACTCAATTTTTTAAAGATTTGAACCAAACTAGTTCAATTAAGCTCTTAGTTACTTGATTTAGTTCAATTGGACTCTAAATTATCTCTTGATTTACCTCAAGTTGTCACTCACCTCCTCTCCCTCTCCACTGTTGTTATCTCGTCCTCCTCCCCTACTTCACTTCCATCTTACCATCTTATCCTCCCACTTGATAGTCTCATATCTTTTCCCATCGGTTTCCTTCTCTTCTCTCTCTTGACTTCCTTATCCTCGCACTCTATATCTAGCTTTACCTTCTCCTTCTCTTCCTCCTCCCCTTCTCATTTAATTTTTTTCTTCCCTCTCTCCCCTTAGCATCCTCCTTCAACTCCATATTCATCACCTCCTCTTCTTCTCTGTTGCCTCCTTCCCCTCCTCCCTTACCTCCACCTCTCCTTCGTTGCCTCCTCCTCTTATCACTTTTCTCATTGCCTTCTCTACTCTCTAACCATTGCTCTCTCTGTAAATGAGAGTGTAACTTGAGTATAACACAAAATATACTAATTATTTTAATTTTTAAAAAATAATTTTTATATTAAACTCTAGCGATTCTAAAAAATATATTAATTTTTACATGAAATTATCTTAATTAGCTAGAAAAGTCATTACATTCAATTTACATTCTTTCACAAAATATATCAAAAATATATTAATTTTTATAAAAGTATCCTAAATTCATCATAAAATTAATCATAATATTCTATATTTTCTATTTCCTTAGTTGATCTAGTTATAGTCGAAATTGAACTAAGTTAAATTTGTTCACCAAGCCTATTTTAAAACTAATAATTTTTAATTTTAGATG